ATAATTAAAAGGAATAATAGTAGTTAATAGTCTCTTATTGGCCTGTTTAGCTGAGCCATCCATAAAATAAACAAAACAAGCACTGGAAATTGATAAAAGAGCACATATTATACAGACACTTGATATTTAATCATATTAGAGGATTAGTTAATTGCATTTGATAGATTTTACTTTCAATAAAACATTTGTAATGGGTTTGTAGAAGGTGTTTTTATGCAAAACTACACGCTTGCATGCTTAGACTAACCAGGCCAGCTGACAGTCTTGCCTGGGCCCGGGACAAGATAATCTTAGATGGCCCCCCCCACGATTTTTTTTATTTTTATAAAACACCATATACTTTTACCCAAACTGAATAATAAAAACACATTTAAATAGGTACATTTTCTATAAATGCCTTCATTTTCTTTTCTGACATAGCCTACTGCAGTTCTTGTTAAAACACACTAGACATGCGAAATCTGTGCATTTTGGGCACTTTTGTGTGAAATCATATTTATTTTTTGTCCATCAAAAGTGTGCTTTCACTTTTAATTAAGCATGAGCAGCGCAGTAAAAATAGACTCGGATCTGACCCATTATCTGTTCACCGATGATGACAGTGACGCATTTCAGCCGGCTTTTTATTTCTCATCTCCATAAATATATCTATATTTCTCCTTTCCACTAGCGCTTGCTCTCCCGTGGCGTCTGTCGTTGCTATGCAACAATGAACTTAGGCGCGCCTGTAAAAACGAGCGCGCCGTGTCGCTATTATGAGCTAATATCCAAAATATTTCCATATGTGGCTCTTTCCTCCTTTCTTATCAACAAGTGGATTTACAGCCACCACAGCAGCAGCACCGCCGGTCGCCATGTCTCAGCGCTTTTATGAAGAGGACGCAACTGCACGCGCTTCGGGCATGCACGCGCATCAAGTATATGGGATTAATATCCTGCCATGATTCAAAACTGAAATTAAAGTTCTGAAAGGTTGAAAGTAAGTGTTTGAAAACTCAAAATCCTACAAAAAAAAGTTTTGCAAGATCGAAAAATAAGATTTGCAAGCTTGCAAAATGTAAAAAAATTAAAAAATATCTCTGCAAACATTGTTGTTTTTGAGATTTCCTTCTTCAGAACTGCAACATTTTTTTTACGATGTTGCGCAAACAATTTTTCAGAGTTTCAAATTTGTCATTGTTCTCCCACTGTATTCGTTTGTTTTCCAGGTTTGAAACCTTGTAAATGGTGATCTGAAAACTGGTGTGCGAATGTGTAAAAAAAAGTTTTGAAACTCTGAAAAAAGACTTTTGCAGACTTGCAAAGTGGTAAAAAAAAATGAAATCTCTGCAAACAAAATTTTGTTTTTGAGTTTTCCTTCTTCAGAAGTGCAACACTCTTTTTTACGGTGTTGTGCAATAATTTTTTCAGAGTTTCGAATTTGTCACTGTTCTCCCAGTGTATAGTTTGTTTTCCAGATTTGAAACCTTGTAAATGGTGATCTGAAAACTGGTGTGCGAATAGGTGAAAAAAGTTTTGAAACTCTGAAAACTGAGGTTCGAAAGGGCTAAACTTATTACATTACATTACATGTGCACTCCTATTGCAGACTATTTTTTCAGAGCTGAGTTTACAACACCCACTTTGCGGAGATACGCCCACACAGTTGCGAGCTTGCGACTCACGTGATTTGTGGCAGCGTTGTCACGCAGTTCTGCTCTGAAACTCTGAAACTCAGACTGAGCGAAAATGAAGCTTCGCAACCTCGCAACTTAAAAAAAAGCCTGGAGGGAGGGCCTTCTGCTCTTGGCCAATGCTTTGCTGTCTGCTGACGTACAGTCCAATCACAAGTCGTATTTACTGGAAAGGTGGGATTGACCGACTGCTCCGCCAATGACGAAAGCGAATGGGATGATAGTCAGTCAGTCAGTCATATTTATTTATAGAGCACATTTAAAAACAACAGTTGTTGGCCAAAGTGCTGTATTAAAATATAGTATCAAAATGATTAACACATGCAAGCACAATTATCAATGAACTTGATTAATGTTGCAGAAATGTTTTACTATCCACAACCAAAGGCCTTTCAACAGGGGCGGCGCCAGATAATTTTTAACGTAGGTGCTGAGGGGGTGCTAGATCATTGACAGGGGGAGCTGCGCAATTATATATATATATATTAGGGGTGTAACGGTACATGTATTCGTATTGAACCGTTTCGGTTCGAGGCTTCCGGTTCGGTACGCATACAAACCGACCGATTCCTTGGACCATTTTTCTTGCCGACAAAATTCGCGCTGGCGCGATCACCGCAACGTTGCGCAACATCAAATGGCAAACGTAATGAAAGCGGAACGAAACTGCGCTACTCATTATGTGCTTCACAGACAGTTTATCAGTTCGGACCAGCAACATCTGTGCAGCGCGAGCCGATCTCGATCAAGCGACACTGTTACAACACAGCGCTAAGAGATCCAGTGAAGAAAACATTTGAATTCGCCACTGAAGTAATAACATCGCTGCGAGATCTAGTGAGAAGCATTCACATTTCTCCGTTATTAACCGTAGATCTCTATTAGATCAAACAGCGCTGACGTGGACACCAGGAGAAACATTGTGCCGTGAATGAACTAGTAATACTTTACGTCCACAGATCAGCAACATTCACCATGGATTTAATATAGTAACACTAACTGTAACAAGTTTGGCTGGAATAGTGAACTGCTTTCAAATACTTCACACATCTTTTTCCAGCTCTTCAAAACTCAAATAATATATAAATAAATATATATATATTTAAATGTTATTTTTAATGTGATGACCAAAACATTATTTGTTCATCCTTCAAAGATGACCCCCATTTATAAACCTGAAAGTTTCAAGATGTAGGAAAACTCAGTTATTTAAAAATATTTTTTCTTTTAACAAATAAGAAATTTCTCTGGCATTTCTTTCTTTTTGCTGTATCGAAAACGTACCGAACCGTGACTTTAAAACCGAGGTACGTACCGAACCGTAATTTTTGTGTACCGTTACACCCCTAATATATATATATATATATACATACACACACTCTATTATTTAAATGAGCAAAATTTATGATGAGATGAGCTCCAGTTCACGTGCAATGCAATCGCGCCCGCGCCTCCGTGAATATATTGTCTGCCATTTGCTTCTTATTTAATATATATCCAGGCAATTGGTTTATGAAAAATTTATTAAAAATTAAGATACAATTTATACAAAATGAAATTCACTTTAAAGAAAGGCTTTCTACAAAACAAAACTTAATTTAGTGGTCAAAATCATGTCTGACCCATCATATCTTCCGATATATTGCGCATCCATCTTATTCATGCTGTTCAATTTTCATAATCAGCATAGATGTGAAAAAAATAACATTATAATATTTTAACCAAAAATGAAACTAAATGCGCTTATTTAATGGCTACAACACATAGTGGGCCTATAGGCCTACAGACTCTCTAAATATTGACATTAACATTAACAATGCTGCAAGTGCAGTTTGTTAATAGTAAATGTTAACTAATCTATAAGTGTTACCGATTTTTTAATACCGATTCAGAGGTCTCGTGAGTTCAGTGTTGGACAGGTCAGTTGTTTTAACTATTCATTAAAGTGAATAGTTAAAATGAGTCATTCGTTTGGTTTGCGTATCGGACGTGTCATTAGTGGACGTCTAGCCACGGCACGCTTGTGTGATTATCTCGGCAGTTTAGGACATCGCACAAGATTTGCAATTTGTACAAATAGAGACATTTTTGTGAATAAAAATGTTTTCTTTTGTATTAGTGTATCATAATTTCATTTGCGCATGCAACAAAGAAGACGTGCAAGTGTGGATCAGGTGACGCGCGTGCATTCATTGAAGTCTTTTCTGAGTCAATCTCATTTGATTCATTTGGATTTTGAGACTTTCTTTTCGCGGTTTTTAAGCATTTCACAACCCACACACAAAAAACTACAAATGAATAGGCCTGGTGCTAGTTATTAATGTGGGCACAACTACACATTTACAACTACACATTTGACAAATTCATAAATGTGCGTCATTTAAACTAATACGCAAAATACAGAATCACATGAATGTGCAGCATTTTGTACAACTAGAGCCATAGTTGTTAATACAAAACCTCGATTTTGTATTAATGTAGCTCAGAATTTGCGCATGCAACATGTAAGATGTTGATCAGGTTGCATGCGTGCATTCATTGACTCGTTTCTAGAATGCATGAATATATTATATTCATCCCATACGCTTTCGTCATTGGCGGAGCAGTCGGTCAATCCCACCTTTCCAGTAAATACGACTTGTGAGGGAAACGATTTTTCACTGCTTTTTAGAATGTTTAAGGTTGAACAATTTGTTTAGTATACTTAAATTAATGTTTTTAAGTTTTGGTGAAAACTTCTCCACTCAAAGCTTTATTCTCGGCCCATGTTATAGAGCGGCACAAAGAAGTAAATGTCAGTTGCTAAACTTCTTGATTGGACAAGCTAAAAGAGCTATTTATATCTCAAGGAAAAAGAAGTTAGAAGGTTTAGTAGGGCAAAAAGTTGAGATGGTTTTTAAACATTTGGTGAAAAGTCGGGTTCTGATTGATTTTAAGTTTTATAAGTTGGTTAATGATTATGAAGGCTTTTTGCAAAGGTGGGGATATAATGAAGCTATTTGCACAGTTGTGGATGGAATGTTGTTTTTTGCTTTAGTATTGGAATGAGTGGTTGGGTGTGGAGAACCCAACCCAAGTGATTATTTATAATGTAAATGTAACATTTATAATATGAAGTTCTGTGGGTCAAATAAAGTTGTTGTGAAAAACTCTCTCTCACTCTCTCTCTCTCTCTCTCTCTCTCTCTCTCTCTCTCTCTCTCTCTCTCTCTCTCTCTCTCTCTCTCTCTCTCTCTCTCTCTCTCTCTCTCTCTCTCTCTCTCTCTCTCTCTCTCTCTCTCTCTCTCTCTCTCTCTCTCTCTCTCTCTCTCTCTCTCTGCTAATGTAGGTTAAGCTACTGTGATATGACAGATGAAGGTTGTTCTGATGTGACTTCAGCTCTGAAATCAAACCCGTCACACCTGAGAGAGCTGGACCTGAGCGGGAATAAACTAGGAGACTCTGGAGTGAAAAACCTCAGTGATCTACTGATGAACCCACAATTCAAGCTGGAGAAACTACAGTTAGTGTCATTATACTGTACAGCAATTACAGTGTGACTGAAGTTTATTTATTTGAAGACAGCAGGGCTTATGTTTCATTGGTTATAGCAGTGCACTTTCTGGGTTTCCCTATTGCTCACATTTGTATGTGTTTTGTTTATCTACACTCTGTGTAATTATTCTGTGGCTCAGTAAATATCACAGTATTATTTAACTTTATTAACTTAAAATCTCTGAATATCATTTATTTCATTGTTTGAGTTAAACATACAAAAATAATTGATCCAACAGTTCATTTCATCTAAAATTTACAGTTATAAAAAAAAAAATTTCACTATAAGAATTGAGTATTTGACTAACCAATTATTTATTTATAATACACTTAAAGCTGCAGTCCGTAGCTTTTTTGGGGTTAAAAATGATCCAAAATACATATTTGAGAAAATACATAACCAGCCAGTGTTCAAAACTCTCTGCTTGCCGTAGCTCGATTCACAGCGGTAAGCTTGTAATAATGTTTTTAATTCCAGTGGTACTGGTGGATTTCAGCGGGAGATTCGAGCATGTCTTTGCGTCATTACGTCACATCTGTACACACACACATCTGTACACACACACACACATCTGTACACACACACACATCTGTACACACACACACATCTGTACACACACACATCTGTACACACACACACACATCTGTACACACACACACATCTGTACACACACACACACACACATCTGTACACACACACATCTGCACACACACACACACACACATCTACACACACATCTGTCCACACAAACACACACATCTGTACACACACACATCTGTCCACACACACACACACATCTGTCCACACACACACATCTGTCCACACACACACATCTGTCCACACACACATCTGTCCAAACACACACACATCTAACCCCACACACACACATCTGTCCACACACACACATCTGTCCAAACACACACACATCTGTCCAAACACACACACATCTGTCCAAACACACACACATCTGTCCAAACACACACACATCTGTCCACACACACACACATCTGTCCACACACACACACACACACACACACATCTGTACACACACACACACACACATCTGTACACGCACATCTGTCCACACAAACATCTGAACACACACACACATCTGCACACACACACACACACACACACACATCTGTACACACACACACACACACACACACACACACACACACACACACACACACACACACACACACACACACACACACACACACACATCTGTCCACACACACACATCTGTCCACACACACACACACACACACACATACACACACACACATCTGTCCACACACACACTCATCTGTCTACACACACACATCTGTCCACACACACACACACATCTGTCCACACACACATCTGTCCACACACACACACACATCTGTCCACACACACACACACACACACACACACACACACACACACACACACACACACACACACACACACACACACACACACACACACACACACACACACACACACACACCCACACACACACACACACACACACACACACACACACACACACACACACACATCGGTCCACACACACACACACACATCTGTCCACACACACACATCTGTCCACACACACACACATCTGTCCACACACACACACACACACACACACACACACATTTGTCCACACACACACACATCTTTCCACACACACACACACACACACACACACACATCTGTCCACACACACACATCTGTCCACACACACACACACACACACACACACACACATCTGTCCACACACACACACACACACACACATCTGTCCACACACACGCACACACATCTGTCCACACACACATCTGTCCACACACACACATCTGTACACACACACATCTGTACACACACACACACACATCTGTCCACACACACACACACATCTGTACACGCACATCTGTACACGCACATCTGTCCACACACACATCTGCACACACACACACACACACACACATCTGTACACACATACACATCTACACACACACACCTGTACACACACACGTCTGTACACACACACACACACATCTAAACACACATCTGCACACACACATCTGTACACACACACACACACACACATCTGTACACACACACACACATCTAAACACACATCTGTACACACACACCACATCTAAACACACATCTGTACACACATCTGTACACACACACACACACACACACACATCTGTACACACACACACACACACATCTGTACACACACACACACAACATCTGTACACACACACACACATCTGTACACACACACACACACACACACACACACACATCTGTACACACACACACACACACACATCTGTACACACACACATCTGTACACACACACACATCTGTACACACACACACACACACTTCTGTCCACACACATCTGTCCACACACACACATCTGTCCACACACATCTGCACACACACATATGCACACACACACATCTGCACACACACATCTGTCCACACACATCTGTCCACACACATCTGTACACACACACATCTGTCCACACACATCTGTCCACACACATCTGTCCACACACATCTGTACACACACATCTGAACACACACATCTGTACACACACATCTGTACACACACATCTGAACACACACATCTGTACACACACATCTGTCCACACACATCTGTCCACACACACACACACACACATCTGTACACACACACACACACACACACACACACACACACACACACACATCTGTACACATAAAGAAGAGTCTCGGCTAGTAGGCTATATTGTGTGTGAGGATGTTGGAGGTGGAGATTTATAGCCTTTTCTCACAGCACTTGATATAATTAAACTTATCAATTTGATGGCGGATCCAGAAAGGTTAAAACGACGATCATCATCAGTGACAACATCACCCGCTGTAACATGCAGAAGACTTCGTTCGGACTTCGGAGCGGCGACAGAGAGAAAGAGACTGCAGCCGGACCCATGCGAAAACAAGGATAATATCGGAAGGACATTACATGTAGTCACGCAATGCTTGCTTACGCTGTTAACATTAACAATTTGAGAACATAGTATAGCTACTTTGCACGGTTTTGCGTGAAATGATAACTTATAAGCAATTGTTAGATTTAATCAGCGCGATTTACTGCAATGTCAGAACCAGAACAAAAGTGGATGTTTCTTACTAGTTCAGACATTTTCCAGTGAAAATTATTATGTTGGTCATACTTCCAAAAAGAATAATCTGTGATTGTGAATGCCAGTATCGACACCGGCGCGGCAACTGACACACACACACACTCTCCTCAAACACTGTGTTCATCCGCGCTGTGCCGTGTCGAGGGTGTCGAAGTACAACTCACGTAAAGTGGATAATTCTGCGAATGACTGCAGTTGCAGATTTCGAACAGAGATGGCGACAAAGAGGAAAAACGCCGGACTGCAGCTTTAAGAAATTTGTGAAATTTCTATCAAAATATTTGAGAATGGAGAATTAAACTGATATGTTTCAAGAACCACAAATATTACTTAATTCAAATCAGTATTATTAATATATTTAACACACTCTTGAGAGATTGAGCAGATTTACTCAGTTAAAACAATGCCCCCCATTTACATTTACTCAGTTTATACAGTGTATTGTAATTGATTTCACTGCTTTAAAATTGAATCAATATTTTTGAGTGTAAAAATGTTTCACCAAAAAAAATTAGTAAATCATATAAAACTTTTTAGAGTGTAGATAGTACTTGTTTAATTCCCAGCATCTGATACAATGTACTGATTGTGTACACGCAGAAATCTGCCTTTTCAACAGAGAATAAAGAAGAGAGACGTCAAATAAATAGTTAGAAATGAAAGAGAAGAAACAGTGTCTTCCAGCGCACAGAACTAGTGTGACTGGGTTTTAAAACAGACTATTGGAAACTAAATGCTGCTGTAGCTCTTCAATAAGATGATCATCATAGATGTGAACTATTGTTATTTCTCTGTCTTCAGTCTGAATAGATGCAGTATTACAGAGAAACAGAGTCTCATCCTGACTTCAGCTCTGAAATCAAACCCGTCACACCTGAGAGAGCTGGACCTGAGCAGGAATAAACTAGGAGACTCTGGAGTGAAAAACCTCAGTGATCTACTGATGAACCCACAATTCAAGCTGGAGAAACTACAGTTAGTGTCATTATACTGTACAGCAATTACAGTGTGAATGAAGTTTATTTATTTGAAGACAGCAGGGCTTATGTTTCATTGGTTATAGCAGTGCACTTTCTGGGTTTTTAAACTAAAACACTTTATTCTCAATATCTGACAGTGAGTCTGAGTTCACATTATATTTGTGTAAAATTCTTCACATTCATGATTTGTTTGTAAGATAATCTCTCTTCCTCTGTTTGTGTCTCTCTAGTCTGTATGGCTGTGGCATTACAGATGTTTCTTCTTTAACTCAGTCTTTGACTAACTCAAAAGCACGGCAGTTTTTAAAAGAGCTTGATCTGAGAGTCAATGAGATAGGAGACTCAAAGCAGCGGCTCAGAGACGAGCTACGAGACTCAAACTGTGTCCTGAGGTGAGGAAACATCACTGAGATATTAAAGAGATCTTCATTTACCTCTGATATGTGAACAAACCTTTCAAACATTCCTGAAAGGAAATTATCATTAAGATTTGTTGCAACAAAGGGTTTGTGTGAGAACATAATGTGAAGTTATTGAAATGTTGAACACAAAGGAGGAAAGAGAAGAAAAGCTCACTGTCACAGCTTTATACATCAACACCTGCTTTATGCAGGGCTGCCAACTCTCACGCATTCACCGTGAGACTCACGCAATTGAGCCAATTCTCACGCTCTCACGCCACACCCCCGATTTCTCACGCTGAAGTGTCAACCCGGTCGGTCAAATGCCTGAAAGATAAGTTTATCTATAGATCTACCAGTTGAGCCATTCGTGATCGACTAGTTTTACCGCAAATTAGTTAAAATATCCTGTAATCTATAGCGAGCGAGCGTGCATGCGAGACAGATGTGTTGAGCTCCTAACGGCGCGCTCCTAACTGCGCACGCGCTCCTAACTGCGCACGACGGCAGAGAGGTGATTAAGCGCGCTTGCGTGTCTTTCGCAACACAACCCAGTGGACAGTTACACTGTATTGAGACAGTTGAGAAATAATCATATTTTTACAGTTTTCAACAATAATTGTCATTGTTGAACCCTTGCTCTTATTATATTTCTGATTTCTCAGTTTTGTCATTATTTTAGCAAATCATTTATTTTATATGTTTTGAGACGAGACAGTTTGTTTTAAGAAGTTTTAAAGAGTTAGTAAAAGAGTAAAGTAAAAGTTAAAACTTTTTTATTTAAGTAGGCATCTATTTTTTATTAAGTCGGCCTATTTATTTTGTATTGATACATAACCTTACTGTATTCATTCATAATGTATCATTATTGCGTGACATTTGTGTCAATAATCGTCAAGCACAGGGGACTTTGCGTAGTGGGAGGGGGCCCCCAAATCAAATTCTGCTTAGGGCCCCCAAAAGGCTCGGACCGGCTCTGGAGACCAGACAGACAGTGTGAGTTTTTTGTGACAATTGTGAGGGAAATACACAATTTATTTCCATAAACTGTGTAGTCAGCCGTTCTCCCTCCCATCTGCACCGTGTGAATTGTGAACGCAGGCAGGTCAGTGAGTTACAGGGCGCTCCTTGTCTCCATCCAGTTTAGGCTGGTAATAGGCCTGTTATATAGTTTAGAATTAAGTTAGCAATATAGAGTTGTTTGTTTTGCAGCACTGAGCAGTTATTTTACATAACTGTATCATAAAAACAGTACAAAAGCATTTCCAGATGACAAATATGGACATGCCTAGTAGTTAATGTTAATTATTGTTTTCTAAGAACAGAATGTCAATTAAAATGTTAAATGTAAAATTAAATGTAATGTAAATCTCCCAAGAAATTCTGTACAGATACCAAATACTTTGACAATCAATATATACTTAATACACTTCTGCTAATGCAAGGATTTTGTGTTTGTATTTTTCCCCACACCAAGCCACGCCCCTCAATAAGCCCCTCCCCCATAACCCAAGCCCCGCCCCCCAAAATCTCACTCTAAGATGAACTCAAAAGTTGGCAGCCCTGTTTATGAACTGTGTCAGTAGAAGTGAATCATTTCAGTGTGAAAACAGACTTGGTCAGATTGTAGGAAACGCTGCACTCCTGCTAAAATCAGTGCAGTTCCAGCTTCAGCTCACAGCGTCCAGCTCACATGAGCAATGTCTCTGTCTCTAGTGTGTTTTACTGTGACAAGCAACACGTCACACTACTCTACACTTACTTTACTCTCAGTTATTTACTAAGAGCCTACAAACATGTTTAAACTAGAGGACAAACGGCTTTAACTAAAGGTTTGTGTTTAACTCAAAATAACATTAGTATTTGCTCCCTGTGGTTTATTCCATACGCCGTACACTCATTAGTTTCTCCTTTACAGAGACTCAATAGGAGTCGCACCAACACACACACACACACACACACACACACACACACACACACACACACACACACACACACACACACACATGAACATGAACATGATTCAGGCTTTACATCTATTATATTTAAAAACACAAATATCTATGCAGGATAATTTAAAGTCTGTTATTAATCTGATTACAGGAATTCAATTTAACTTTTTTTTTACTCAAAACAGTAATTGAAATATAATAATTTGCACTTTGTTCCACTGAACACTGATTGTTTTCTCTTCTGTTCCACTTTACAGTGTAGATGGAGATCAGTCATCAAACGTCAGTGGATTTACATCATGGTTTAAATCTGTGAAACGGAGATGAGAGGAGCAGAAACCATCAGGTGATCCACAGAAGAGTCTCACTGCTGTCTATGAGGAGAAATACATGTGTAAATGTGTTTCATACAGGTGGAAGAGACTCAGACTTCACTATTAAATAAAGCAGCGTGTGTGTTAGCATGCGTATTAGAAACATGTGATATTGAATGATTAATGTTGGTTTATTATTCAGCCAAATGATGGTTTAGTTGTAATTAAAGGTGGAACAGAGGAAGAAGCTCAGATGAGTGTCAGCAGAAATCTCCACTATCAGGCCTGCAAATATAATCATGTTTAGACTAAACTCATCCATAATTATTCAAATATTTCTAATCATGACCGTGATTGTCAAGTATAGCACATAAATGTTTAAAAAGATGTAAAGTTTACATGCAACTTTTAAACATTTACATTATCACTGTAACATTTTATACACAGAATATCTTTATTGTTATTGTTGTATTGTATATGAAGTTAGTTGTGTGTGTGTGTGTGTGTGTGTGTGTGTGTGTGTGTGTGTGTGTGTGTGTGTGTGTGTGTGTGTGTGTGTGTGTGTGTGTGTGTGTGTGTGTGTGTGTGTGTGTGTGTGTGTGTGTGTGTTGCTGATGCACAGATGTACAGTATATTGTCTTTGTTCTGTGGATGAAGTCTCTTCTCCTCTACAGACCGACTAAACATTTTCCCAGTGAACTGCATTTGTGTGTGTTTCACTCGCTCCTCAGAGAGCAGACGGATGTGGGCCACTTCAGGCGATGATGCGGCACTGCAGGCCTTCTTATGGCCCCGACAAAATGTATGTGAGCCTGAAGTGGCCCACATGTAAAATGGCAAATATGGCCCAAATATTTAATATCACATGTGGGCCTTTTTAGGCAAAGATGCGGCACTCATGGCAATGTGTAATCTGAATGTGGGCCTAAAGTGGCTCATATGATAAATAATGAATATGGCCCAAATATCACAAACCAAATGTGGGCCACCTATGGCAAAAATGTGGCACAATCGACAATGACTAATCTGGGTGTAAACCAAATATGGCCCACATATGTTGCAGCAAATGTGACCCAGTTATCTTAAAACAAATCTGGACCAGTTTTGGCAAAGATGAGGGACAGTAATCACTGTGAATCTGAATGTGAACCCATGGGCGTCAGTGTGGTCTGAAATGTGCTGGGGACAGAGACACATTCATTTATTTTCTCTTTCGTGCAGGTCATGTTTTGAAAGACGATCTCCTGTAGCTTACTAATGTAAATAAATAAAAATGTATACAAAAATGTGATGATGTCCAACTCGTTTTATGAAGAAGAAAGCCTTAAGTTTTTAAAAAGCATTAGACATATATGACCCACTATTCTGCTTCAAGTAGCCTACCATGTTGACAATATGACATGACGTGGTTTAATGTACCTAAACAATGATTACCAAATTTCTCTCTCATGCTCCTCATAACCACTGAAAACAGTCAAAAAATCTAACCCAAATTCCAATTATTATGGAGGTTATCTGACATTAAGCGTTTCTGCTTCACATTTTCAGCAGGGCAGCGGAGCGGCTGTCGACTCCCCACGGTTCTCATGGGCTTTATATAGAAGTCCTAACGTGAAAAAGCTTTACGTGGTTTACCTAAACAACGATCACCAAACGATCACAGTTGTTGCAAAATAGTTGGACAACATTTGGCAAATGAATGGCACAGTCAGCACTGGCTAACCAGGGTGTAAGCCTTATGGCACAGTAAGCAACGTGAGTGTGTGTGTGTGTGTGTGTGTGTACTGTAGGGATGGGAAAATGAAGCCTCATGAAGAATTGAGGCTTTCCCCTGAATGTTTCGGGAAAAGATTCGAAGCATCAAGAGTGTCGAGACTTCCGGTAATGGCGGAGCAGCGCTCAGTCGCTCCACAGAGCCGCTCGCTTAATAACAGTCTTCTGGCCTCCCAACTTTGCTTTTAACGACGATGGAACTACTTTATTGTTGTCGGTAACATTTTTACACCATATTATGTCCGAACAAAAACAGAATAGGAAACATAAATGTAAAGGCAGAGCTCAAGCACTGAAACTAACAGACCACAACTACGTTGCTAGCCAAAAAGAAAACAACGGCGGGAAAATGGATGACGACTTCTCAACTTCTCAACGGACGCGGAGGTTGTTACTCCGGTTGGTCGCCCCTCTTCCTGCCCTGCCTTAAAAGTAAAAAGGAAAGAAAGGAGCGACTTGTCGCTCCGGTTGAGAGTGTACGCTGTGCGTGTATGTCTGCCGCTACTCTCCCGGGTTTTATACTTTAATTTGTTTGATTTACTTTTATTAGTTTTA